GTTTGGGCTGAATGGTAATGTCGTATTCGTATACTGTCTGACAACCATTGCTATTAGTCGTAGTCAGAATTCTTTTGAAAGTGATTGGATTTGGTGTATTATTCACCACACTAAAACTAGCATTTGCACATTGCGTACAAGACAATCCTTCAGCTAAATTCCATTGATAGACTACGTTTGTAGATGATGTCACACCAATATTTAATGTATCGCCTGAGCAAATAACTTTTGGTTCTGTAATTACCCTTGAAGGTAGTTTAATGGTAGAAACTAGTTCTTCACAAATACAATTGTCAGCTTTGGGCAAAACAAACAATAGACTACAAAAATCATCATTACCTATTTGATTTAGAGTGACGATTTGTGTAATTGTCTTATTCGCATCATCAAATCCACTAAAAATAACATCACTCAAAAACTGATCTCCAGTACTCAATATTCCATTTCCATCTAGATCTAGATACACCTTGCCTATGACATCATTCGAAATATTGTCTGAGATATTACTAATGGTGACGGTGACTCTAGCATCTAAAGAAGCATCCGTTTCTACTTGGAAATTGTTTATTTCAAACACAGGATTCTCTTGTGGAATAGTCAAAATCGATGATCCAGTGATGGTCTCTATGTCACATTCTTCCATTGACGAAGCACAAAAAGCACTTGCACTAAGCGTTGTATAAATGTTAATAATCGTTGGTTGACATGCAGCATTTTCTGCTTTTTGCAGCCAAAATGTCATATCAATATTGGGAGAAGTCGAACTTATATCCCAAACAAGTTTATTGGTCTGTTGAACAGGTACAATATTAATTAAGTTACCTGATGCAGAATTTGGCACAAACGACCATCCTTGTGGTAAGTCTACATATATATTTCCTTCATTTGCTAATGGTTTATCAAATGAAAAACTTATTTGAAGAGAATCATTTTTGCAATTTGGTGACTTCGTATAGTCGCTCAAGACATTTAAGGTATAAGGTGGCAACACACCATTGATGTTAAATGAATTGCTAACTTTGGCAACCTTGTTGGTTGGAATATTACATATTTGGTTGGCATCAGTATTGTAAACAATGGTAGTTCCTGATATAAAATCACAATTGGTCGTTGAATTAAATACGATATCAAATCCATTATTTGGTGAGAAAGCTGTCCCATTAAGTCCTGACAATTTATGTAGTGGCCAAATGTCATTCAAAACCCATAAAAAATTATTCCCATTTATCATCATTGGATCGGGGATAGCAAATGATTGTGTGCCTCCTGAAGGATAAAAAAGTTTACAACTACCCGGAATTAACGTCATGCCTGTTGGTAAATTCATACCCACATTCATATCAAATGCAGTACCTAGTCCTGCATTATAGACATAAAGTGTATTGGATATTTCTGTACATAAAGAGATATCAGTATTTACAGTTTCAGGTTGTAGATCAACAACACTTCCTGGAAATGTGACAAAAACACTATCCCTACCAATAAAACAAGGACTCGATGCAATATCTGTATAAATACCACAGTCATAACCATATTCGATAAAGATTTTTTCTTCGCCACAACTCTCAGAATCAGCAATAAATTCTACATTTTTTATTTTTCCCTTTTCTAGTGTGCCTAGATAAGAAATACCGTTGTTCAAGTCGAAGTCAGCACCCGTATCAGGGTTATAAATACGAACATTTTTAAGTCCTGATGTTGTTGTGACCCTCATAAAAAGATCTTTGACATCGAATTTAAAATTAGTTTTTTCAAGGACTTTCATCTCAAACCCAACTTTATTTGTAAATGCAGTAATATTCTTTTGATTAAGCTCAAGTGCTAATGTAGGTAGGGTATAAAAATTTTGAATTGTACCCATGATAGAATCAGGAAAATACAACTCACCGATGTCATTCTTTTCAAAAAATATGGTATACACAAATGGGGTAGGCGTAACTTTTGACAAACATTCTTTGAGCCTTCGTACTATCTTAAATTTATATTGATTGCCTGTAAAACCACCTGCAAATGGGAAAACACCTGTCAAGTCATAAAAATATTCGTTAGTACTAGTGATGATTGGTTCAAAAGAATAGAACTTATTTTTGTACTCAATTGTCAATGTCTCGAAATCAAAATCTGGCATTTTAGTGATTCGAATTCCTTTAGGTCGAGCCACTTCTCTTAATTCAGTCGGAGATTTAAGATCATGACCAATATTCATTATAAAAATCAAATTATTATATGTACTCTCATCACAAATTCCTGCTTCGTTAAATATAAGTGAACTCAAAACAGGTGCTGTAAGGTTAAAACCAGCCACTGTTACCACTTCATCAAAACAGTTACAAATAGAATAGCTACTCTCATCACCCAATGGTTTATTGTCTAGCACCGATTTTGTACGATATTTAAATGTCGCATACTGTCTAAAGGCCAACTCATTTTGAACAGCCTTATATGCTTCTATATCAAACCGACTATTTGTCTCTAAGTATACAGAATCGCCTTCTTGATATCTAAAATCTGAAGGGAATGTAGGATAAAGCATGTGTAAGGTAGCAACAGACAAATCAAAATTATTGATATCGTCCATTAATACTGATGTCACATTGTCAAAACTGTAATAGTGATCTTCAGACTTATCATATATTCTCAATACTGAACTGTATTGTTTTAAACCCTTTCCGTCACCCATAATTAATTTCTGCATAAATTCGGTATTTGCTTCATTTGATGACAGGAATTCCCCTTGTTCGAGTAAAATATACAAATTACTGAAAGACGAACCTGGGATATCCACTTTTATAACACCGTCAAAAATTATTTTCATAGTATCGCCAGGCATAAATTCAGTGAGACGTAATGTAGAAGGATTAATGTTATTATTAGCGTCAGGAAATCCATTGTTGTCTTTGTCTGAAAGACCATAGTTTGTCCTAAACAATTTAAATCTATGATCATAAAACCCTGGTATAGTATCATAACATACCTCTTTATTGTCGCATAATAAAGAAAAACTAGATCCATAACAGCTTTTGAGTAATCCTTCATCAGGACAATTGCCTCCGAAATCTATACTCGTTTTAGAATCGATAAAATCAGAATCTTTTATGATAGCACAAAAGAATGTGCAGCTACTATAAGGTCTCTGGACACAAGGTTCAGTCGAAGTGACAGCATCACAATTCATTACGAAAGGGATAAACATCTCTAGATCTTTTGCAGATAAAGGAAGATTATATGACAATTTGATCTGTACTCGATCATTAGCAAAACTAGTATCAATGGCAAAAGGCAACTTATCTCCTAACTTAAAATCTGTAGTAAGCAACTTCAAAATCGTTGGAAAATCAAATGAAATAGTGACTACACCTTGATTTTGAATCAGTTTATCGCCAAAAATGGTGTATTTGGCAATTGCAGTGTCCAAATTCTGTAAAGGTCCCATCAGACTATCTATCAAAAAAAATGTCTCTAATGCAGATCTTAGAGAATCAGCAGAAACGCCTTTGCCAGTAAAATTAATATCATTAAACTCAGAACACTCCTTTTCGTAACTATAACTGTACAGCCATGTATTTAATTTAGGGTCGCAATCCACTTCCTCACAAAAAGCGGTCTGCCAGGTGATTGTGGATAATTTTTGGCCATTTAGGGGTTCGAATCTAGGCACTCTTATTACAGCAGTTCTAGCTAGAGACTCACCACACTCATTAGTAAACAAACCTTTGTAGGATATATTATTTGTAAACGGAGCAGTTATGGAACCAACTTTGATTCCCCTATTACCCAATGTTTGGTGTATTTCTAATTCGAAATCTAGGAGTGCATTTTTATGAAAACTCTCCAAAATTTCTAGTTTTTGGAGTGCCATACCTGGGAAATAACAATCAGGGTTTGTAGAAGTCGTTCTTATACCAATTTTTGGACCCTTATCTTGACTTGGCAGTATTTTGATCGTTGCGTTTGCTTTTACATTTTGGCAGATAATATTATTGCATCCCCAAGACACATCAATCGTAGCAGTGTTAAACTGATTTTCAAATATACATGTGTTGATTTTCAATTTTTCTACGATGACAATCTCTTCATTAAAATCTAAGAAATCATCTTTATTCCCTATTTTCCTGAAATCCAATGCACCATATGCTTGTTCGATTATTTTTGTTGTTTTTGAAATCAGCAAACCACCTTCGAGAGTAATATCTACATTTCCATCATGAGTGTTTTTATATTTTAATTGAGCCAACTTACCTAGCCTAGCGTTTTTTACAGTTATTTTACGCGTAATTACATCATTAAATTCTGCTTCTGAATATGGATTTTCTATTCTTGTGATAACTAAATTTGGTGATTGAACATTAAATGGCAATGAAGTAGATTCTGTAGTATTATTATTTGCTGTGAAGGTTGTCTTAATATTAAATATCTCTAGATCATTCACACATCCTACCGCTTCACATCCTATATTTGCGCTGATACTGAATGTATTTTTCTCACCAATCGCAATATTATTGAGTGTAAAACTTGGCACATTCAAATTGCTTATATTTTTCTGAGTAGCATTGGAGATAGACGATGGAATGTATGTAAATCCACATGGTAAGTCTATGGAAATCTCAGGATTGTTGAGTATTGAAGATCCATTATTAGTGATTTCAAAGGTGATCACATTTTGTTCACAAACGGTAAGATTATCGGAGACAATATACGTTACTGTTTGGCCTGAAATCTTTTGACATTGGGCAATACAAATGAGCAGAAAAAGTAAAATTATCTTATTCAAAATTATGGTGTTTTCTTTACAGTTCAAAAATAGCTTTATTTTTTAGAAAATAGAAAAGATAGTTAGTTAATTTTTAAAAAAATATCTGCAAGTATTTTATAAGACATATTTAAAATTAAAAAAAACTATAAAATCCAAACAAAACCGAATAAATACATCGATTTATAGGAATTTTTCATTTAGTAATAGGAAGATCTTAAACTCATTATCAATCTTAATCCACTTACATCAAATCCGCCAATTCCATCCACTTTTCTTCTTTCTCTTCTAGTTGGGTTTGGATATTGTCTAGCTCTTTGGAGAGTTCCATGATTTTTTCAGGGCTTAAACTTGCATCATCAAATTTTGCTGTGATTTCGGCCTTTTTCTCTTCCAATTTTTTAATTTCTTTTTCTATCCGAGCGAAATCCTTTCGTTGCTCAAAGGTGGCTTTACTTTTTTCTTCTTCTTTGATTTCTATTACTTCTACAGGAGATTTATCGACTTTTGACTTGTCTCGATCTTCTGCTTTTTTAAGTTCACGATAATCTGAATAAGTTCCATTGTAATCTCTAAGCACAGCATTTCCTTCTAGAATGAATAAGTGATCTACCAACTTGTCCATAAAATACCTGTCGTGTGTTACAATAATCAGACATCCAGGAAAATCCAATAAATACTCTTCCAAGACATTGAGTGTGATAATATCAAGATCATTGGTAGGCTCATCGAGAATCAAGAAGTTTGGGTTTTTCATCAAGATGGTCAGTAGATACAATCTTCGTTTTTCTCCACCACTCAACTGAGAGACATAGACTCTTTGCTGTGATCTCGGAAATAAAAATCGCTCTAGCATCGACTCTGCGGATATCTTTTGTCCTTTGTCTAGCGGTATATATTCTGCAATATCTCTGATGACATCGATGACAGTTTTGTCTTCATTGAGTACCAATCCATCTTGTGTATAATAACCGAAGACTATGGTATCTCCCACTACGATTTTGCCGCCATCAGGTTTAATATCTTGGGTCAAAAGCTTTAAAAAAGTAGATTTTCCAGTTCCGTTTTGTCCTACAATACCTATTCTTTCCCCTTTTTTGAATTTGTATGTAAATCCATCCAATATCTTTTTATCACCAAAATTCTTAACAATTGAGTGTGCTTCCAATATCTTTGACCCTAGACGCGATGCTTGGATATTGATCTTCATATCGTCATTATTGAGCCTGACACTTGCCTTTTCTTTGATCTCGTAGAAGTCATCTATTCTAGATTTTGCCTTTGTACTACGCGCTTGTGGTTGACGACGCATCCATTCTAGTTCTTTAGAAAAAAGCTTTTTGGTCTTTTCAAGATTGGCAGCATCATTAAGTAGTCTTGCTTCTCTTTTTTCGAGATATTGAGAGTAGTTGCCACGATACATGTAGGTATTGCCATTTTCCATCTCGATGATCTCATTACAAACACGCTCTAGAAAATATCTATCGTGCGTCACCATAAAAAGTGTCAGATTGGGCTGCTGAAGAAAAGTCTCCAACCATTCGATCATCTCCATATCCAAGTGGTTGGTAGGTTCGTCGAGGATTAGAAAATCTGGTTCTTCTATCAATATCTTGGCCAATGCTAGACGTTTTTTCTGTCCACCAGACATTTGACCCGTTTTTTGGTCCATATCTGTGAGTAGCAATTTATGGAGAATCTCATGGATTTTTGATTCCAGATCCCATGCTTTTAGATCTTCGAGTCTTGTGACACATTTTTGAAGTAAAGCATCATCATTCATCAAGAGTGCTTTTTCATAATCTCTGACGGCAATGATGGCTTCATTATCAGAATCAAAGATGGTTTCCAGCACGGTGGCATTGGGATCAAAAGCAGGATCTTGTGTAAGAATGGATGTTTTTAT